AATATAGCTTAAAAAAAAAAAAAAAAAAAAAAAAGTTACTTAGTATTTTACTATTTTTCAAACCCCATACTACTGCACACCGTGACTTGAAGGGGTGCCGTCTTCGGATCGGCATTCCTTTGTCATTACATCATTATATATACACAGAAAAAATAATAATAATAATAATAAATAAATAAATAAACATAAAAAAGAAAGTAGTGGTAGACTAGTAGTAGTAGTAGCAGTAAATCACACCTTAGTGTGATATACTTGCCTGGCAGCAGGCGGGAATAAATATCACTCTACCTTGAAGGCGTGTGTTTTCGGCCTATTTTGTGGCCCAAGGGGGGGGGCCCTCGCTCTAACCTTAGAGAGGGGTCCTAACACCACCCTACCCCTGTCCTACCCCCAGTTCAACGGGGTAGAGTGCCCCCCGCCAAAGAGCGCTGCGGCCAGCGGGGAGGGGACAACCCCGTTTTGGTGGCATGGGGGGGCCTGGCCCCGGCAGTCGGGGACCTTCCCACGCTGCCTTTTTTTTATAGATTTTTTCAGTGTTGCACACCCCGACCGTCGGCGACCCTTGACTGGTCAGCTGCCGACCCGCCGACCGGTCGGCTGGTCGGCACCTACTGGTCGGGGGTCGTCGGCACCCCGCAAAATAACCCCACGAACACCCCCATACCAACCCCAAATACCCCCGTACACCCTCCCCAAAAGGAATGCCAATCCGAAGACAGCAGTACTTTGAGGGGTGTAGCAGTGGATTCAAAAAATACACACACAAAAAACAGGGAAACGAGGGACATTTAATTTCACTGAAGAAAAAAAAAATGTCAGCTTTAGCGAAACGCCAGATTACCTTTCATTTCCTGTACTAGAACCATTGGTGAGTTCTCGTCTTTCTTGCTTCTCTCTTCTTCCTGTCCCCCTTTTCATCTGCTTCGCCTTGCATCTCCTCTATGTCTCCCTATACTTGTCACATCACACTGTGGCATGGAAGAAGAGGCCATTTCGGTGTGTGAGGATTCGGCACCTCGGTCAGCCAGGAAAAGGCCCCGTCCACCCTAAAGCAAAGGCCGGCCTGCAAAATGAACTGCTGCCTGGCCTGCGCTCAGGCAATTTGAAGAGAAAGGGGCCCCAGGTAGTTGCTGCACGCATGCAGCATATTTAACTAACTGATAGGCCCAGCCCACGCGTCAGATCGGGAAAAAAAAAAAAAAAAAAAAAAAAAAGATTGAAGACGCTGGACCTTGTGCAGGTGGTAGAGGGGCCCAGGGGGCAGGAAAC